ATGTTTATATCTGTTTTCACGAGAAGCCACTTTGAAGATATCAATATGTAATACAACCACCATTGTTAATTCCCTACCACTTTGTTTGTAACTCTGTGTTGTCTGTATTGTGCTTGTGATATGTTGTAAAATGTTGTATGTCTGTTAATGTTTCCCTCCTTTTATCTTTAAATAAAAAAAAAAATCATATGATCATCTCAACAGATGCAGAAAGCTTTTGACAAAATCCAACATCCATTCATGATAAAAACTGTGAAGAAAATACCTATAGGACTTTATCTCAATCTGCTAAAAGACATTTATGAAAAACTTACTGCCAATACCTTATTAAATGGGAAAAACTGAAAGCTTTCCCTCTAAAATCAAGAACAAGATGAAAAAGGTCTGCTAAAGTCTGCCCAGGAACATGGGGCCTTAGACCTGTCCAAAAAAGCTTCAGAGGCAAGATTCCTGCCCCTGGGCCTAGAAGGCAAGAGCTACAAAGAACTCCTCTCATTTGGGGCCTTACTTGGAACCTGTTACTCTCCTCTTTCCCATTTTTACTTTTCAGAATGGGAATGTCTATTATATGCCAGTCCCGCCACTGTGTTTTGGAAGTACATAATATGTTTGATTTCATGGGCTCACAGCTGGAGGACAATTTCCCTCAGGACAAATTGTACCTTATGTCTCAGCCATTCTCTGACTGAGATAGCATTGAGATGAGACTTTGGACTTTAAAATTAATGTTGGAACAAGTTAAGACTTTTGCGGCTACTGGAAAAGAATGAATATAATTTGCATATGAGAAGGCCATGAATCTTTTTGAGGACACAGAGGAATGCTATGGTCTGAATATTTGTGTGTTCCATCCTCAAACTTCAGTACCAAAATCTAACATTCAAAGTGATGGCGGGGAGGGGCATTTAAGAGATTATGTCATGAAGACACTGACTTTATAATGAGATTAGTGCTCTTATAAAATAAGGAAGTTCATTTGTCCTTTCCACTGAGCAAGGATGCAGAGAGAAGGTGCTATAGTCCTCACCAAACACCCTATCTGCCAGCACCTAGAACTTGGATCTCCCTGCCTGCAGAACTGTGAAAAACAAATGTTTGGGGTTTATATGCCACCCAGCTCATATGATACTGTTATTATAGCAACTATTATGGTTTCTGTCTAGATGTCCCCGCAAAGCCCCATGCAGTGATAGGTAGGGCTTTTTCAGAGGTGGCTGAATCTAACATATGTGATTGATTCATGGTGCCATGCTAGGGTTAAGGATGGGTGATTACTAACTCAATCCGTAGGTTGCTTTGGCACTACCTTTATCCTGGTAGCCTGGATATAATACAAGGGACAGAAAGGGGCTGGGTCTTGCCCCCTTGCTTGCTTTCCTACCTTCTGCCCACCATGAAATGTTCTCTGCGATGCCCCTCTGCCATACCACTCTGCCTTGGAGTCAGTCGATTATGGACTGAAACCTCTGCAAACTAAGCTAAATAAACCTTTCCCCTTTTTAACTTTGGGTACCAGGTATTTTGTCTCAGCAATGAGAAATGTAACTAAGACAGCAACCCAAATGAATGAAGACAGGAGACCATGGCTGACCCACTCTCTCTCGCCTCCTCCGTACCCAGAACACTGACATACACCGGAGATTCACCGAAACTTGCTGAAAATCACTGGGGCTGCCACTCCCATCATCAACCAAGAGCTCCAGGGCCAGACAAAGAATTTCAAAGCTTTCCTTTCCCAGGTGGCTGTGCTCCTGGGCTACTTGAGGTTTGGCTCTAGCAGGCACAGGTACTGTTTAAGCAGCAGTGACTGCCACCCTCCACCTTCTTGGTACACACAACAGAAGTGTGTACATGTTTCCCAATTTGACTCCTCATTGTTCAGGAGTACGTGGATCTATGCCATGAAAAGCACAAGCTAGAAATAATTTTGAATTCATCTTGACAAAGAATGTTAAGAATCTTCTAAAACAACTCAAGGAAAAGCTTTTATACAAGGGAGGGGAGTGAAAGGGGAGCATAGTCCCGCTTCTCCCAGTCAGGACGGACTCCAGGAAAAACCCCGGAAAGACTCAACCTTCCCTCCTTCCTAAGTTCATGCAGTGTGATTTCAGGCCCTCTATCCAAAAATGTCTCCCTTATGGGCCTGGGCAATTGCCAGAAATCTTGCCACTAACCACTCCTTTGGGTCAACTGCAGTCCCTTTTTGAGGTAAATAAGCTGCCTGTGTGAGTGCTATGACACACGAGATCACTGTTAATTAAGACCATTCTAGAAGATGATTCTATCAGACTGCAGCAAGCAGGGGCCTGAAAAACAGGAAGAGCAGCGGCCAAATAGGTCTGATGAGAGGAGGTCCTAATCTCGGGAAGCCGCCTGAGAGCCCACAGCCCAGCAATACACAACCTAAGGACACTGAGGACAAAAGGTGACAGTGGGAGCAAGAGAAGACCCGAGGCGTGGGCCACAAACACTCTCACTCCACAGATGGTGGCATGTGTTAGAGAAATATTTGTTGAGGGGGTCAGTGGGGTGTGACATGTATTTGATTCAGTTTTTAGTAAACACTAATATCATGCTTAATATGTGCCAGGCACCATTCTGAGGCCAGAGCAATCAATGTCTTTATCAAAGTCAGAGTTTGAAAGCCAACTGCACTATTTTCTGGCTGTGTGACCTTAGCCAGTGACTCATGCCTTGTGGGGCTCATTTTTAACTCTTTTAGAAGGGGTGCAATGGAGAAACTACCTTGCCATTATTGTGAGCCACTCTCAAGCTAAGAGCTATAAAGACACTTTACGGACTGTGAGATGTTTTACAAATCAGTGCTGATATTACAAGTAAGCTTAGGACTAGTTCAGCCTCTATAACAAATTAGAACAGAAGAAAAACCATCCTGCTTATGATTGCTACTACCTATTTATTACATACTTTGTGGGCTCTGAGCTAGATGATTTCATTTAAGTCCTGATTCCCAACATATTAGCTGGATGGCTTTAGGCAAACTGCTTAATCTCTCAGTGATTCTGTGTTTGGCTCTATAAAACTAGGGCTAGTAATAGATTTAATCCTTTGAGTTGCTGTGACATTTCAAAAAGATGATGAAAATAAAGCACTTATGACAACGACCTATAATAAACGCACCATAAACAGTACCTACCTCTGCTCCTTTAAGCCTCACAATGTTATGAAGTAGGTATTATGGTTGTTGTTATCCTTATATCCAGAAGAGAAAGCAGAGGGCCAGAAAGGTTAGGCAACATGCTCAAGGCCACATACCTAGGGAGTGATGGAGGTATTAGTGGGAGACAGATCTGTCCGCCCTGGGCATTTTTGTGGTTGCCTAAGCAAATGTTCTCACTATCCATAATGACACACCAGAAACACACAACAGAATTTTTGAGCAAAAGAACAATATTACAAAGCTACAGAAGAAAGAGAGGTGACAAGGACCTTATAGCTCTTAAAGTGCTGAGTTGTTGTAAAAGGGAAACACGAAATCCTCAAACACAAAAGCTGCGAATTGGAGAGGCTCCCAGAAGCCATGTGGTGCCACCTCTTGCCAGCGCAGGCACGGCAGAGCCTGGCAGGTTATGAACCAAGCTTGTCCCCTCTTCCTCCTGGGCCGTGACCCAAGCCTTGTAATTAGGAGCAGGACTGGGGAGTGTGTGTGCTCCTTTTCCAGGCCCAGCCTACAATTCCTTCCTCTCTTTTAAACTCCTCCATGTAATTAATTGAGCACCGTGACCTACAAGCCACACTTAGAAGGTGATGGAGTCCCAAGACGAAAAGGACCCGAGTCCCGTAACCAACTCCAAGAACAGAGCTATCTATTGTCAGAAACATCCAACTAGGACTGTACATGAGCAAAAATAACTCTCTTTTATGACTGAGCCATTGTGCAGTTTGGATGTGCTTGTCACAGCCTCTAACTTACCTTCAACTAATGCAGGAGCTGGGGGTGCTTCCTGACTTTTTTTTTTTTTTTTTTTTCTTTTTTGGTTTTTCTCCGGTACTGGGAACCGAACTCAAGACCTTGAGCTTGCCAGGCAAGCGCTTTCTTCCTGACTATTGACCACCCAACTTCTTAATGCCCATGGTGGAGAATTCATTTCCTCATGGAGTACTCATTCGCTCTTCATTTGTCCAATCACCAAGCATCGATGGAGCTCCTACTGTATGCCAGGAGCTGTGCTAGGCACCGAAGAAGCAATGATGAGCAGGACCTCGAGACCTCTGTCTTCATGAAGCTCATCGCTCAGACTTGTGGACAGAAAATAAACAAGTAATCAGGCAGTAGGCATGATATTTATAGACTTTGATAAGTAATTTGCAAGAAAGAGACAGATTGACGAGACAGAATCACTGTGAGGAAGAGCAACTTTCAGTGGGGGATGGGAGGAAGTTGATGAAAGCTGACTCTGAAGAGGTGACTGAGATTTGAGATACCACAGTGGAGATCCCTGGTCATGAACTTTATTTATTTTTTGTTTATTTTTTTTTTTCACTTATTTATTTAGCTTGTATTAGCAGGAAAATGTGTTTCCTTTAGCTCTGTTCTCTGGTCTTAATTATATATTCTGGAGTCCCAGGAAAGTCTACAGCCTCCCTTTTCCAATGACAGCTGCCCCACCATCTAACATCTGTACGCAGCTGTCAAGGCTCCCCCATCACCCAGGGGCCCTTCTTCCCTGACTCCCTCAAGCAATAGCCCTCAGGATCTGAAAATACCAAGTAGTTTGCAGCAAGGATCCAGGTAATGTGCAGGGGTGGGTCTTAGAGACCCCTTCGCTGAGGCCATGTGGACCCTTTCGGCATCTTGGGGCTAACTGGTGCCACTCCCACTCCATTGCTTTTTAATTTCCCCAGGGCAGCTTGCTAACTGCTGGCTGCTGTCAGGCATTATTCTTTGACACTGGGAGGGAGCAGACAGGGTTAGAGCTTTCAAGGGCTCCCGCTGGAAGCCTTCTCTCTCTCTTGAAAACAATTTATTTTTTCTATGTTGAAATCATGTCCCTCTTCCCTAAACACCAAAACAAACCCAGCTGCCCCCATCACTGGGCTGAGACCACAGGCGTTCGTCTGGAGAGCCAAAGAGGCAGCAGGAGGAGCTGCTCAGAACTGCGCTCCTCCAGATTCCTGCTACATCCACTCTGGAGGCGAGGAGGCCCTTTTTCTCCAAGGCCCAGCCTCACCCTTATCAGAATTAACAGCGCCTCAAGGGCAACAAGTCTGCCCTCCTCCTCAGGGTGCTCAGAGAAGCCACAGGCTCAAGCTGTGCTCCTGGGGCCTCTCACTTAGCTGACACCCACGGCTTCGCCACTTCAAAAGGTCCCTGCAACTCTGGGGGCTCCTGGATAGTCAGGAGAATTGAAGCCCTATAACCAGACACTACATCAACAACTCTTTTCCTGGCTTGGTTTGGGGATAAAAACAACTGCTGCTCCTGGCATTCTCACACTTTCCACAGAGGTCACTTGGGGCAGGACCGAGTCAAGACTTCCAGGGGGTGTGGCAATACCAGGGAAGCAGACAGTGGAGCTATAAGCATGGGACGTGCTCTGCTCCCTCCAAGGCAGGGAAGTTGGAGAAGAACGGTGCAGGTTGCAGAACTGGCTTGAACGGTCTTCCTGCCAGTGCATGGACTTCAGCTCTTCTCCATCTGCCCTGGCCTATGCTAATTGCTCTGACTCTTTCCGGTCCTCCTCCCTCTCTTCCCCACTCCTTTTCCTGGACCAAGAACAGGGAAAAACCAGCCAGACACGTGGAGAGCAAATTTAAGGAGGTCCTCACTTTCTGGGTTAGGCCAGTTTAGAGTTTTCTCAGGGAATGAATACTTCCTTAAATTTGCACCTCAGTGCAAATTTGCATCCTACTTCTGGCCCTGCCCATGCCCCTCAAACCGGTCTTGCGTGCATTCCCCAGGAAACCTTTTATTTCTTTGATCCTATCCCCAGTCCCAAATCTGTAGATGGCTTCACACTCATATGAGAAAGATCAAATCGAGTTTATGGAAGTTTAGTTTGGTTAGTTTTTGTCCAAAAACAGTTTTAACTTTTGAAATCTGTGGCCGGTGTTTAAAATTAAGAAGAATTTAAATAAAAAGAAAATCACATTTCTGGCTTCCCTTGAAAACACATATGGTAAGGCCCCTGTGGGTTGGAGTGGAGCAGTGAATGCTCCTTTGCCCCCTCCAGACCTGGCTTGTGTCCTCCTGTCCTCACTGTCCTCCCATGACAAAATGTACTTGCTTGGCCTCTATAGGCATTTGAGGCTGCAAGCCTCTGGTCTAAAGACAGATGATGTCCAAAGACACGGTAGCTGATTTCAGTGGTGCAATTTCAGTGCCAGATCAAGTTTGAAGACTGGGAAGAAGGTAGGAAGAAGGGGAGCTTTTGTTTTCAGTGTCCATGAAATCAAGCCACGGAGGAAGGTCCCAGTTCCACAGCCAGGATGCATAAAAGATTGAAAACTGTAGTTTGCAGACAGAAACACGTTATGTGCCAAATCAAAAGAGTGGCTGAAACAAAGGGACCAACTTTGAAATGGAAACGCCAGTGACCGAATGTCAGGAGGCCTGCATGGGTGTCCCACATCCGTCCCTGACTGCCTTGTGATGTTGAATACAACTCTCCCAGAAGCCTCAGATTCTTCATTCCTAGTAGAGAGAGTCAGGTTGGGTTATTTCCGTTCCAGCCCTGTCTTGAATTTAATGCTTACTATTCTTAGGTGGAATTATTCTCACAAAAGAGATTCTCAGAGCATTGTTCAGGCCTAACTCCAAAGAGCAACTGAGTGAAGATTAGAAGCTACATTTCATTGATAGCAGGGAATTTTGCAACTTTTGTAGCAGTCTACTTATCCTTTCATAATTTCTGTGGCGCTATGGAGAATATACACTTAGAGGAGCTCGACAATTGCCTGACTCAACAGTCTCTTGCCTTAACAATTGCTTCTCTTCTTGAGAATTCACTATGTGTGAAATCTAATCTCCTAAAAGCTGTATCTCTACCCTGAAAATGTTAGAGGAGAAAAAAGCTCCTTGTTGATGCTACGGGTGGCAGTTGAAATGGAATTCAAGGCAAGGGGTGAATCACTAGCTCACATCTACATAGTATTCTGTACAGTGAAAACTTCAGGAAGAGACCGAGAAATACAACTAGAAGAAATGTTCCCAGGAGGTTGTAGTAGCATGAGGAGGTTCACACAATAACCACTGAATCCAGATGTTAGACTTTTTGTCTGGATGTCCCACCAAAGCCTCATGCAGTCACATGCTTTTTGGAGGTGGTTGAATCTAGGGTTTGTGACTGCCTGGTGCTGGGATTGGGAGCCTGAGTGCTATGCCCACCCTAGGGCAGATAGCTTGCATACAATATAAGGGAGGAAAAGAGCTTGCTTTTACCCATTTTGTTCCTTTTGCTCGGGTGCCTTTGTTGTCTTCCACCACCATGAACTGCTGCCCCCTGCCACACCACCCTGCCTTGCAGCCAGCTGATTATGACTGAAACCTCTACAAACTGAGCTAAATAAACCTTTCTTCCCTTAATTTGGGGCATCAGAGATTTTGTCTTAGCAGCGAGAGAAAAGTAACCAAGACACCAGACAAGGGACAGTGTAATGCAAAGATCTATCAGAATCATAAAGTGCTAAGAGGAGTCTAGAGGAAAGAGTTATAATGGTCTAAGGAGGTGGGGTTTAGATAGGTTGTGAAGGATAAATGGGCATCTGACAGGTAAGGATATGAAGGAAGGAATACAATCTTTAGCTGTTGGCCCTTCACCATGGATGAAAACTTCCTACTGCCTATGAAGCCCTAGGCTTTAATCTCTAAGAGTTAATAGGACAGGCAGCAACCCTGCTCTCAAGGCACTTACTTTCTAGCAGCAGACATAGACAAGAACACAAATAGATATTTTCAGATACTGTTAAGTCTCTGAAGGATATTAAATGGGGTATTATCATAAATATAAATAAAGAGTATCTATGAAAGTCATATCATATAAGGTGTACAATGTAAATCTCTCTGAAGAGACTCCAGTTAAGCTGAGCCATAAGACAATCTGAAGAACAGCATTTCAGAAAAAGGCATATAGCACATACAAAGGTCCTGAGGCAGAAAATTTTAAAGTATGCAGTATAGTTGCAGGACAGGGAATGAGGAGAGAGTTTAGAGGTAAACAAGGCCATATTGTTTGAGGTTTTATACGTCAGAATAAAAAGTTAAATGGTCTTCAACTCGGCATGGGATACAAGCTAATCTATCACTTTAAAAGACTGGCCATTGTATAAGGATTGGGCTCAAGGGTACAAATAAAAATAAGGGGTGCTGTATTATGCACCTAAACTTGCCATAAGAAGGTATCAGAAAATGGGTGGCTTTAGTTTCCTTCTCTCGGTTCTGGAGACTGGAAGTCCTAGATTAAGGTGTTGGTTGGTTCAGTTGCTGGCAGTGGCTCTCTTCCTCACCTGCACATACTGCCTTCTCTCTCCTTTTTATTTATAGCGTTATCAGGCTCTACACTTATAACCTCATTCCACCTTAACTGTCTGCTAGAAACTCCATCACCAACTGCAGTCGTGTTAGAGATTAAGGCTTCAACATACAATTAGGAGTCAGGAGAAAGGGGCATAATTCAGTCCTTTGCAGAGACCAGTGAAGAGGTAAACAGGCATCCTGGCCGGATTTATTCCAGGGCTCTGGAGGAACAGAATGGTGAAGCCGACCTGACCCTGGCAAGGGGACTCTGGACTCACACAGTCATGTTTATAGCCTGCCATTTGGGTGTTCTTAATCATCATTAAAATGGAAGAAGAGGTCTTTCTAGAATAATTAGTGTGAGTCTACATCCTCAGACAGACATTTTGGTACTTTGCAAGAAAAGATGGACCATGTTAATCCATTGCATTTCTTTCTAAGTATCTTCATGTCCTCATGATCTTCTGCAGGAAAGGGAAGTAGTTTGGTGCTCTGGCATAGAGAGACTGGGGGAATCCCAGGTCAGAACTCTCAGGAAAAAAGGCAGAGAGCTGTGGATTGGATGCCACCCTTGCTGAAGTTATTTGCTCTTATTTTTTTCTCCCTACGAAAACTGATTCTCAGTGTTCTCTCCATGTGGGTCTCATATTTACCACCAAGAAGCTCAGCAATGAGCATTTCTTTACTTTTAAAATCAAGGTTTACTCTCCTGCCTTTAGTGCTGGATGGTAACTATCTAGATTATTTTTAACCAGGCATGGTGGCACACACCCATAATCCCAGC